GACCGAGAACGACCTGATCAACATGAAACCTTCTTGGGCAGAGTCACCATCAGTATGCATGGCAACTAGATTGCAAGACATGGATTGAATCCCAGGCGATGAATTACGTACTCCGCATCCTTCTGAAGTCAGACGACCCAGGCATTATATGATGGACTACTGTGCTTACTTTTACTGGTTTTGGTTCGATAGTCAGCTTTACCAGATATGGTTATATTTCAAGCATGAAGCTGCCGTTCATCGACTATTTCGACATCGATAAGTTTCTCTTCGATTTCTTTGAGTACCCTTGGGGCAGAATGATTGCTCTGCTCGATTAGGGTCCGAGGAACGGTAGCCAGTTTTTATGATTGTTTTTTTTTGCTATGTGTATTAATTAATGTGATCCTTCTTACAAACCAGGAGGACCAGAGTCAGAATCCAGGTAGATTCCAGGCATGTATCAGCAGCAGATAGTGTAGCAGACAGAAGACAATCCGTGCTATAGACGTCTTGGGTCAAGCTAACCGAAAATCGGACTTCCCCCTCCTCCTCCCCCTCCCCCATCCCCCTCCCCCTCCCCCTCCTTCTCCTCCTCCTCCTCCTCGTCCTCCTCGTCCTCCTCCTCCTCCTCCTCCTTTTCCTCCTCCTCCTCCTCCTCCTCGTCCTCCTCCTCCTCCTCCTCCTCGTCCTCCTCGTCCTCCTCCTCCTCCTCCTTCCCCTCCTCCTGGCTTGCGCCCAACCCTGCCCTGCCGTGAACGATGTCGTCCCTGAGCAGGAGTTTGGCCATGGGATATCTCGGGTGAGGCGGGCGGTGACGGTGGGGGGGGGGTCCTTGCACTCCAGTCACTGTTTGCATTTTTGGCCCGAGCATTCGCTGTACTTTTGCTCTCGGTGTGGCCGATCGGCCGCTGTCGACCCGAGGCAACTTCTCAGCGAATGTTCCCTGTGCTCTAAGAAAGGGCACGAGAATCTCCTTCGAATCCGCCGAGGGTTATTCCCAGGCCACAAGGGCCCCTCGGCCCCTGTTCTGGAGGCCGCCCTCAGTCGGGTCCGACGCGCGGAGGGGCGTCGGTTAATCCCTGGCTCTCGCTAGTCCCGCCTGCCACTGCGACTGTGGCGATCATGACACTCATGACATTATCCTCCTCCTTCTCCTTCCCTCCTCCTCCTCCGCCTCCTCCTCCTCCTCATCCTCCTCCTCCATCCACCGCCTCGCAACAAAGAACATGACGGCGCAACTGTAGCTGCTGGGGGGCCGCCCCCAAGGGTGGGCAAACGTCGGGCCTCGCTCGCAGGTGCTTGTCGGCAGGGTGTCCCGAGGAGGGCTTCCTTGCCCAGAGGGGTGCGGGCATGCCTTCCGCAGCCCCAGCTCTGACACCGCCAGGCCATTCTCTCCCAGAGGGGGGAGTGAAGGGGAGGTCCCAGGAGGATGTCCCACCCGAACCCGACGCCTCTCCCGCCTCGCCTCTGGTTCTGACGGCCCGCGATGTTTGCAAAGGCACCCGCGTGCATGGTCATGCTGGGAAGAGGATGCAGAGGAGGAAGGGGAGGGAGGAGGAAGAGAGGGAGCGAGGTTCTCCATCTCCTCCTTCTGCCTATCCTTTTTGCTCCCCCCTCCCTTCTTCCCTCCACGAGAGCGCCTGGTCCGTTGAAGGCGGCCTGGCAGTCAAGTAGAGGCGGGACGAGCGCGCAACCCCAAGCCTGGGGGTCCTCTTGGTGGTGGACGTGGGAACCCACTCGGGTTGCCAGTCCGAGACCGAGGGAGGGAGGAAGGGAAGGAAGGAGGATGAGGATGAGGAGGAGGAGGAAAAAGAAAAGGGGGGAGAAAAAGGGCGGCGGGGGCAGCAGGGGGAGGAGACGGAGGAAGAGGAGGGAGGAAGGGGAGGAGGCAGGAGGTGAGGGAACAAGGAGGGGGTCCAGGAAGGAAGGCGGAGGGCGGAGGAGGAGGGTACGTACAGTAGTCGGAGAGATTCAGCCTGGGCCCTGGGCTTGTTTCTCCTGCGTTTGGAGTCGGAACAGACGGACCGACCTCCGCGCTGCGAGCTACGCGTGGGCCTGACGCCGAATGTCTGCGACGCAGCGAGGGGTGGAAGAAGCATGAGGTTCTCAGGATTTTGAGTGTGAGGGGGGGGGTGAGGAGCAGGAGGAGGAGGAGGAGGAGGAGGAGGAGGAGGAGGAGGAGGGGGCGGGGAGGCGCGAGGATCAGGAGGAGGAGGAGGAGGAGGAGAAAGAGGCGGAGGAGGAGGCGGAGCCTGAGATCCGGGCGTTGCAGGTTATTCCGCACCTGGCGTGTTCGCTCTTGATGGGCCCTGGGTACCATCGCAGATCGCCCTGGCTCGAAAAAATGTTTCACGAGGTTAAGTTTTTGTGCGCTTCGCTGGGCCTTGGGGAAGGGAGGGACGGGTGGGCCTGACGGCCAGGCACTGAACTTGGCTTGCGCGGTCCACAGGCTGTGGTTCGCACCGCTGCTATAGTAGGAGCTCGACCACAACAAACCTTCTACAAGAAACCCAACCCCGGACCCTCAGGACGTCCATTGATGTTTGGTGTGGGAACATCACGTTTTCCATCGTAGGCAGAACCATCGAAACCCAAGAACCCCAGTACACCATGGAGGCAAGCAGGGTGTTTCTTGGCATGGGCTGCAACTCTAGCCCGCCGGGCTGGCACGCCTTACGCAACGCCGACCGCCGAAGAGGCGTGAGGTGCCCTTCTTGCAGGCGGGGGGATCTAGACCTCCCAGATGGGGTCGGAGCCGATGGAGTCGGAGGATCGCGCCGCATCGCCAATGTATCGCCGATGCGGCTCGATGTGCAGCCCGCTCTGCTTCACGTCGACATCGCCGATGCATCGCCGACGTCGACGATGCGTCGCCAGTGCGTTGCCGATGCATCGCCGATGCATCATCTACTCCGATCCCATCTAGGGGACGCCTCTGAGGGACGTGGCATCGTTCGGACATGTGTTTTTTTTTCTGGCGGGGATCATCGAAGAACATCTTTGACCATCTAGCGAAAAATACACGCGCGAAATCGAGAAATGCACGGGGAATAGACGTCCGAGCGATGGCGAGGGGAGGGGGGTGGTGGAGGAGGGCGGACCCAGACACCCAGCGTTCCAACTTCTTCGATGCGCGTGGACCCTCGGAGGTCGGGACCACTTCCCTATGGCTGGGGGTGGTGTCTCGTTCTGGGCCGTTTTTTTACGCTCCTGGGGCCGGTTGATCAAAGGAGCAAAGCCACCCCGACCCAGGCAATCGGCGTTTACGAAACGGCCATGGGCGTTTAGTAAACAGCCCTGCCCCTGTTCGCTTCCTTCCACGGGTGCGTTTACCACGCGGCTTCGCTTGTCGGGGTATACCCATCGGTCGTTGAAAGTGGGTGTTTTTGGATTCCCAGATTCCAATCTACTTTCAGCGCCTTCCTACTTCAATGATCGAATGGCTTCACCTCTTCCGTCCTTTTAGGGGGCGAGCCGACACCCAATCTACTTTCAACGCCTTCCTACTTCATGTTTCTACGTACTTCTTCCGACCGATGGGTACTTCTTATGGGGGTGGATTTTCTGCTCTCTAGTGGAGGGCCTCAGGGGCTCCCGGGTCTGACGGCGCAGCCGCACACCTTTGGGCTCTGGTCAGGGGCTGGCCGGGGAGCCCCCCTGCAGCCCTCGGACGCCCGCCCCCCCCCCCCCCCCCTCCGCCCCCCTGGGGGCGGCCTCGGACCGCGGCGGCGGCGCGGCGGCGGGGCGGCGGCATGCTGCGCGCCGGCCTCGGGAAGACCCTGGCGACGAAGGTGGCGCCGCACCACAAGGTGCTCACCATCTTGGCGGCGCGCGCCAGGGGGGGGGGGTCCGAGGAGTGCAGCTCGAAGAAGAGCAGACGCCACAAACAGAACCCTTCGGCGCTCCTCGCGGATTCCTTGGGTCCGGGCTGGGCCCCCCCCCCCCTGGCGACGTCTCCGGTGCCGCCCCTGGCGCGCTCCGCGTGCCAGGGAGGGCGGCACAGCGCAGATTTAAGAAATCCGCGCGGGGCGCCAAAAGTTTATGTTCATGCCGTTTTTCTTTTTCTATCAGAGGATTCAACAGTGGGGGCGCGCATAAGGAAACCATCATTATGCTTTTCGTCAGGGTATCCTGGGTTTCTTCGCTCCGCGCGCTTTGCGGTGACTTCCCGCAGCCGCTGAAAAAGCTGCTGCGTTCGGGGTGCTCCAGGTTTCCCCTCAGGTGCACCCCGCGAGCGGGTTTTTTCAGGGTTGGACTTCTCACGAGGGTTTCTTGCGACCGCGCCCGCGCGATGCCGCTACCGCCACCCTTCCGTCGTCGCCACGGCCGGATTCGACTCCAGAGCCATGGCCGTAGACGGGCTAACGGCGATCCAGGCAACGGCGATGGAGGGTTCGGTAGTGTGGGAACGCGTGGCTAACGCTTTCCTCCAGTTCGCTTTGCCGTGTTCGCTCGATCAGGAAAGTGTGGTTCGTGATTTCTTACAATTTGGCTCCCAACGCCACCGTTCAGCAACATCCCCGTTATCCTGGCCTTGGCATGGTCAGAGCGCACCCCAGGAGAGGTCCGTGGAGTAGCGGTGCGGGTATTTTTTTGTGTCCCCAGGGGTGGCGTGAAGGGAGGCGGCTTATCAAGAAGGCGGAAGGCCAAGAAGGCCCCGGATGCTTCTGAGAAGGATTCTCAGAAGGCGCCATGCCCTTCTGAGAAGTCCCCATGCCTCCTTTCGGAAATTGGAACATATACATTACCAGTGGTGGGCTGTTTTTCAATCCCAGGATTTTTTCAGGGTCGGGGACGACGTCGGGGAGGTGTGATGTAGACTTGTTTATCCCCGGGAAATAGCGAAACATGTGTACACCAGGGTCCCGTATACACCAGGATCCGTTTTCCTATGCAAATTTCTGTGCATGGCCGAAAAATCGTCGGTGTATAGAGTTCGGTTCCCTAGTTTTGGAAGCCCGAAATGCTTTTTCTGAAGACCGCCCAACTCGCGCCACCCTCCTTTGTGGGCGCCGCCAACCATCGCGGCGTACTTTGCGTCCCTCATCGTGGTGTGCATTTTTCCCAGCTTCGATAGGCGCACCGAGATCGAGGAGCACGGCCTCATCCCAGGCTACGCGGTCGCCGGCTTCACGGGCCCTTGGGCGAGCACCGTCAAGGACACGACATCCAAGATCGCAGGCTCCATCGCGGCCGGGCCGAAGCAGGGCGACCAGGGCGCTGTAGATGCATTGCGCGATGCGCTGGCAGAGGCAGAGCTGGTCTCTCACCACATGAACTTCACAGCATTCGGCCACACTCCCAGCTCGGTTGTGTACACAGTGGTGCCGTCGAAGCGTGGCGACTCCCGCGAGGCGGTGGTGCTGGTAATCGCGACTAGGTGGACGCTAGCCGGCGGCAAGGCGAACCCGGAGGCTTCCTACGGACTCGGTATCGGCGTCGCGCTGGGGCAGTATCTGCGCACGGTCCCCTGGTTGTCGAAAGACGTTCTCCTCGTTTTCGTAGACAGCTCGCTGCCCTACGGCGCTGGGGCGCGGGCGTGGCTACGGGCGTACTTTGGAGGATATTCTTCTGTTCGTAGGGGTGTGCTGCGGCAGGCTGTCATTCTGGAGCCTGGCAATAGACCCTCGTCCTTGCTCTGCAACGTGGAGGGAATCAACGGCGCTGTGCCCAATCAGGACGTTGTGAACAGCTACATGGTGCAAGCGGACAAGGCAAAGCTGCAGGTGGCGCATCGCGAGGCGTGGGAGTCCGTCGCAAGCCATTTCTGGAATGGTGGGGTGCACAGCAGCCACGCGCCCTTCCTGGAGCTGCAGGTTCCAGCATTCACTGTCCAGGGCCAGCGTGGCCGAGTCAAGACACGTGAGCTGAAGCCGCACGAGGTGGCTCAGACGCTGGAGGGGGTGGTCCGCTGCCTGAGCAACAACCTGCAGCAGCTGCACCACTCCTTCAACTTCTACTTCTTCACGGGCCGGGCAAGGCACATCTCAAACGGGCTCTACCTGTACCCCGTCTTCGCCATGATGTTTCCCCTGATCAGCTTCTTGATGACGACGCCGACGTACCGCGATATACGCTCGATGCTGGTGAGCCTCGGGGCGATCGCCCTGGTGATCGTCGCCTCCGGCAGCCCGGTCTTCCTCCTCGGCACTGACGCAAAGCTGGTCGCGTGGCTGCGAGGCCTCGCAGCGGCGACCGATGCCAGTCCGCTGGCGCTGCCGCCCACGTGCGAGCACCCGCGCCCGGGAGCGGGCGAGGAGCTGATGCGACGGCAGGCCGCGGCGTTGTGGCTGTCGACGGGCGGCTGCGCCGCGGCGGCCGCAGCGCTGCTGCTCAGGCAGTACGCCTTCACCGTCTTCGACGCCACTGGAAAGGCGGACACCCAGGGCGGTGGCGTGAGGCTGCCAGGGCCCCTGTGGGAATCCATGCGGGCGGCGTCTGGGTTCGCCTACCTGCTGGTGCTCGCGCCCTTCGCGATCTACTCGTGGGCCGTGGCCATGCCGCTCACGATCGTGTGCGTGCCGATGCTCGTCTTCATGCGGCCCATCAGCTTCCGCGGGCGCCCCCTCAGCTCCTGCTTCCTGGTGGTGACCGTCGCCGTGAACGTTTTCTTCCTGGCAGCGCCGCCGCGGGCCCGCGCCGAGTGGCTCGGCGAGGCGGGCCTGGGCGGCTACCTCCTCGGGGCGCTTGACGCCTTCGACAAGAGCGTGGTGCCCCTGGTCCCGCAGGTCCGCGGGCGGCATGTGTGCACCGTACCGCTTTGGCGCCTCCCGAGGTGTTGTCGATCTTCGACCCAGCAATGCCTTCAGTTCCTGGCGTTGCATTTTTTTCACAACCGGCGTTTTCGCCTTTTTTCTCGCCCCAGGACCCCTCACAGATCGATCTGGCTCGAAACATGCCGCAGAAAGGTTGGGTCTAGGTCTCGGGGCTTGATTTCATCGGATGTTGAAATTTTGTCGCTAAGTCGGATCTCAGCGTGGGCAGCGTGGATAGTTTATCGGCCCTTAGAGCCAAAGAACTGTGCACCGTACCGCGTTGGAGCGAGGCCTGCAGGGAGTTCAAACATGGTACGGTGCAGAAGCGCCGTTCTCGTAGCAGGAGGGGCGCGCCTACCTGCCCACGCCGCTGGTCCGGTGGCTGCGGGGCCTGGTCAGCAGCAGGGCGCTGCAGGCGGACCTGCTGCTCCAGCTGCACGAGCTGGCCCGGGACTTCAACTGCGTCGGGGGCATTTGGGGCCGGCCAAGAGGGGGGTGATGACCAGGGGGGGATCTCATGGCGGGGGCCGTGATATTCCCCAGATTTCATGGCGCCTCTTATTACTTCAATACGTCCCTGGCCCCCACCCCTGGGCCGCGCACATGTCGCCGGCCATGATCTGCGCCCCCCCCCCTCTTGGACACCCGCCTCTTGGCCGCCCCCGAGGCATGCTGTTCCCGGTGTTCTGCTTCGCGTACTGGCCGCTGCTCGTGCTGCTGGTCCTCATCGGCGCCGTCCTGCCGGCCCAGCGCGTGGACGACGGCGGCCTCAGCCTGCGGCAGGTCCGCCTCTTCGCCCTCGTCGTGCTGTCCCTCGTGGCGCTCGGCGTGGTCGGCGGGGTGTACTGGCGCTCGCACTCGTCCAGCGGGCTGGGCAGGCTGCAGTGGTGAGGGGCGGGCTGCGCGGTCCGGCTCTCCAGCGTCCGCTGCCCTTCCAGAGCGAGAGCGCGCCGCGCCGCCCCCCCGCGCCGCGCGCGCACTGCGAGCACGGGCGGCGGGGGCGAGGGGAAGCCCGTGTGATCCGCTCGCGGGCTCGAAGATGGGGCCCCGAGGGATGGGGCCCTGATCTCACCACCCACCAAACCACCCCAACCCAACCCGAAGGCCCCAATTTATCCTCGATTTCCAGTGGGGGGGGGTCGGGGAACATCGAGAAAACACGTATGGAACCCGTACCCCCCCAACCCGAAATTCGGGTTTTCGGGTTGGGTTGGGGTGGTCTGGTAGGTAGTCATGATCGGAAACGGGAACACATGCATTACCAGTCGCGGGTTGCTTTTCGATCCCAGGATCCGTTGAGGGTCGGGGACGACGTCGGGGCGGTGTGGTGCATGCTCTTTATCCGCTCCCCGGGGCAGCAGCGAAAAATGTGTACACCAGTGTCCTGCACACACCAGGATCCGGCTTCCTGCGCAAATTTCGGTGCAGGGCCGGAAGAAGCGTCGGTGTAGAGAGTTCGGTTCCCTGCCCGATGACAGGAATGGGCCTCGGGGTCGAAGCTGCACCGTTCCTGGCCTCCTCGCCCCCAGGGCCCCACGTCTCGGTCGGGGCCACCCCAACATGCTCATGCCATCCGTGCGTCGCCCCCACGGGCGACGCGCGCGTCGAGAAATCCTGCCGTGTGAGATCCGTGGCGGGCGCGTTCTGGACACACCGTTGAACAAACGAAGCACCACACGATTGATGCAGCAGACGTAGCATTCGCATGTCCTTCCGCGTCCCCTTCGGAGCCCCTTCCCTGAAGTGCCGAGAGCCGAGAGCCACGCTTCGCGGTCTGGGCCAGAGGGTCATCCGTGTCCAGGGGGGACCGCGCAAGCGGGCGCGGCCTGCTGCGGAATGGGCGCTTCGCGCGGCGGGGCGCGGGAAGTTCTTGGCATCGCTCGGACGTGTGCATTTTTCCGTCGGCGAGGACCATCGAGGAGCATCCTTGATCATTTGGCGAAAAATCCACGCACGAAACTGAAAAAAGCACAGGGAATGGACGTCCGAGCGATGACGAGAGATCACTCGCGGGGGCGCGAAGATAATCGCGCTTCGCGCGTCGTGGTCTGGGCCAGATCGGCTGCTTTTCGCCAGTTGGGCGGCACGAGGGCGCAAGGGCGCGAAGATGCTTTCGCGTCGCGCATCACGGGGCGCGACGCGCAGAGTTAGGTGACCTAGGTTTCGACTTCCCCCTCGGCTCAAGTAAGCATCCCGGCTCACATCCGATACCCTTACTACACTTCCCTCACATCCTACCGTTTGCCCGATCATCTGTTTCTCCCTTCTCTGCTCATTGCGTCGGGACAGTTGGGAAGATGCCAGCGAGCACGAGGGCGCCGGGAACGCCCCTGGGCGCAGAGAGGGTTCCTCCTGGTGCAAAGGTGGAGTCGCACATCATTGCGTCTCCAGAGGGCCACGACGACAAGCGGCCCCGCTTGAAGAGCCCGTTGAGCAGCCCACTAAATGAGATGGATGGGGACACGAGCGAGCCTCAGGCCAGTAGAGCTGCTCGTCAACTTCACTTCGAAGGTCCTCACACGCCGCCGGGGGCCTCTCCCGCTCCCGTCACGATGGACGGCATCGCAAAGCTCCTGAACGACACCTTAGATGAGAAGCTGAGCGCACAATTAGTTCCGTTGTCTTTGAAAGTGTCTCGCCTTGAGGGGAAGTACGGTGAGCTATCCAGCGGCTTGGGAATGCAAGCAACTGAAGTAGACAAAAGGTTCAACGACATGCATCAGAAGTTCGAGAATCACATTACCAGCATCAAGGAGGATATTGCGTCGCTGCGAGGGGCTCTTGGTTCCTCTCCTGGGGTGTCCGCTCAGACCACCCCCAGGGCCACGTCGAATCCAACAGTATTCATTGGTGGTTTGAGCAAGTTTGCAGATGAGGACGTGGCCAGGGAGTGGTTGCGAAATCAATTTTGGAATGCATACATCAACGAGCCACTTAAGATGTACTTCAAAGGGAAATCGTTTAAAGGGCAGTTGTTTGCTAAATATGCCAATCAAGCAGAGGCCGAATCCATCGCAACGAAGATCAAAGAGGCCAACTGGGAACACGACGGCGAGAAGGTATACGCCAAACTGGACTTCTCTGTCAGCGTGCGTGCTCTCCGGACCATCATGTACACCAGCAAGGACGTGCTCATTGACGGAGGTTGGGAAAAGACAGCTTTGTGGACCGATGCCGATACTTTCAAATTGTGGTGTGGGGCCGACGTGGTTCTCACGGCTTCGATTTCTGAGGGCAGTCTTTCAGTGTGTTTCGAAGAAGGGTGGCGCGAGTATTTCGAGGGCGTGCCAAAATGGGATGCCATGGTCGCTGCCTCCAATAAGAAGCTCAACGACAGCAAGACTCCCACGAAAGGCCTTGGCAAGGGTAAGACCAAAGACAAAACGAAGGGCCACTCTTCAAGCGCCTCTGCAGGCACCGGCCATTAGGGACAACTCCAGTCAGACACATGTTTCACTTTAGACTCTTGCAAACCTTCTCCGGTCATATTGGCCCAAAAAAAGGCCCGTATTGGGTCAGATGAGAGAATGCAGGAGGTAGTTGCAGAATTAGACACTATGGATTGGGATATTGTTCTCTTCTCGGAAACGAGAGCACCAAGCCGCTCGCGTGAAATCATTGGCGGGCACGCGCTTTACACAAGCGGCAAAGGGCATGATGCCACAGGCGTTGGTGTCCTCGTCCACGCCAGACACGTTGGCAAACACGTATCTGTTGGTATCAGCGACCGGGTCATGTACGTCGATTTGGAACTGCACGGAAAAGCGTGCAGAGCAATCGCAGTTTACCTTCCGCATGCCGGCTACCCCGCCACGTTCGTGGACGCAGTTTACGAACAGCTGTCATCCTGCTGCCGGACAGCGCGAGTTGGCATCGTCGGAGACGATTTCCAAACAGAGCTGCATGAACCAGTTCGGGGGGCTGCGCTGCTCGATTTTGCTTCGAGGGCAAAACTGTCATTCTGCAACAGCTCTGGGGACTGGACGTTTCGAAGCAATCTGGGAAGATACCGTCTTATTGACTACATCCTTATCGGCTCGCGCGCCAGATGCATTACGAGCGACAGCACAAACATTCTCGACCTTGGCTCGGACCATCGCGCCGTTTCTGCTACCATCGAGTTCAAAGTTGCCAGGCGATGGACAAGCAGACAGCAGAATTCTCGATGTAAATGGTCAGATGTGTCAAGCCAGGACATTCAACGATACACGGAGTCAGTGGGCTGCTGGGCCTCGCAGCATATTGTCGACAATTTCGCGGAAATCGAAAATTCCATCCGGTCTTCAGCAGGGGAACATCTGCAAACGCAGACAGCGACGACCCAAAGCCCCTGGAATTCTGACGTTGCCCTGCAGGCGAAAAGAGACCGGGATCAGGAGAGAGACCCTTTTCAAGAGGAAAGCCTTGCATTGGCGCTGGAAGCGGGTACTCCGGAAAGAAGTTCGGATTTGGAAGACTCGGCAGGCCGCAAAGATCCTATCTAAGTTTCAAGGTCTATCCCGCTTGGACGTTGTATGTCACGTTCCGGTTGAGCGGGAAATTCCTGCCAAGCGGCCAAGCGACGGGGAGCTTGCGCGAGCTCTCGCCGAAGTGTACTCGAGGGAGACGCCGACTGAAAGACCGCTGTCGCGAAGTATTCTTCGCGACGTTCCCCCGTTCAGCACTGCAGAACTCAGGGCAGCCCTGAGAAAGCTAGCGCGCAACAAGGCCGCAGACACCGAGGGCATTGCGTTAGAGCACATTCTGCATTTACCTCTTGGAGCAAAGAAGCTCATTCTTGACCAGTACAACAAATGTCTGAACGAAGTGGCTTTCCCGAAGGAGTGGCTGCATACGACTTTCACAATGCTGCCCAAGCCGGGGGGCGCGTCGAAGGCTTCCAATTGGCGCCCAATCGCCGTGCAAAGGATATTACACAACATTCTGGCTACAATGCTTCTGTCAAGGATTTCGCCGAAGTTGGAAGCAGCGCAGGGGAAAGATCAATGTGCGTGCCGGCCTGGCTTCGGCGCCGACGAGGCTCTGCACTGCGTGGAACACGTGATAGGATTTGCGCACGCGTTTAACCAGGATCTTTGGATCGTCAGCCTAGACCTGAGCAAGGCGTTCGATAAAGTCTTTCACGAATCTGTTATCGAAGCAATCTTGCAGCAAGGTGTAGATGAGGCTCACGCTTCCTTGTTGCAAGAGCTGCACTGGGGACAGACGGGCCAAGTTGGCACGAGCGACGTCTTCCAGCTCTTCCGGGGAGTTTGCCAGGGCGACGTCCTCAGTCCGTGCTTATTCAACGCAGTCATGGAGATGGTGTTCAACAGGTGGAAAGGCCGCCTCACTTCGCAGGGTTGGGAACTCCCGGGACAGGCAGAACGCTTCACGAACATTCGATTTGCAGACGATGTTCTGCTTTATGCCCGCTCGCTGGAGGACGCAAAAATCATGATCTCGCTCTTGATTGACGAGTTCCAGGCCGTAGGGCTGCAACTGAACGCCGCGAAAACTAAGATCTTATCTTCCAGAGACGTGGGTGCGCCACCCGGCACTTGCAAAATCGAATGGATTGCTGGCCGCTGTTTTCAAGCGCTGTCCGCGAATGATTCCCACGCATATTTGGAAAGAGCCTTCAACTTGTCAAAGAACAGGGCAACAATTGCCGTCAAAAGGAGGATATCAGCGGCATGGCACCAATTCCAAAAGAAGCGCCACATTCTCATGAGCCAGCATATCGGTGCCAGTCACCGAATCAAGCTCTTCAACTCCACGGTATTGCCAGTCTTGCTGTACGTGCGGGTTGACCACCCTGGCGCTGAAGCCGCAGCACCGCGCCATGCTCCGGGGAGCGCGGGCAAAGATGCTCCGAAATATGGCTGGCTGGAGGAGAACAGAAGGCGAAAGCTGGCAGGACACGATGCGGAGGCTGCAGACGCGCGTGTCGAACATGCTGTCCACGGCAGCCTCCCCAGACGCATCGGAAAGGATGTTCTCTTTGAAATGGCGGCTGGCTCGCCGGCTCTTCTGCGCAGGAGTTGAGAAATGGGCCCCGCATCTTCGACACCTGCAGTCTGCCCACAAGCGAGCGCGAGGCAGACCACCCCTGCAATGGATAGATGACTTCAGACAGTTCTGCGCGCACGTCGGCGCAGATTCTCTGGAACAGGCGCTGCAAACGCCGGGGAGGGAGAAGCAGTACGTCGAGTTCTGCATGATGAAGGTGCGATGCCCCTCCCCCCCTCTCCCCTCCCTTCCCCCTCCCTCCCTGCCCCTCCTCTTCTGCATTTTTCCGAATTCCCAATTCCATTTTCTGTTCATGTCTCACAAATTTGTTGTCTGGCTGGTAGACTGATTGCGCACCCTTGCCCTGCGCAGGGCCGAGCAGCCGGCAGGCGTGCTCGAGTGGCTCGCGCGCGCCTCGGAGCCGTCTGGGGGTCTGAGGTGGCCCAGCATTGGTTTCGACCAGTAGGTTCGAGGTTCTGGGTTCGGGAGAAGATTTTCTTGCGTTCTTCGGCCTCCAGTGGCCGTTGTCCGGCCCAGGGACCGCGAGAAACGGATCCAAGTTGAAAAGGTGCACCAGATGGACCTCGTGAGCGGTCCAGGGATCGACTTTCGGTAGCAATTCATGGGAGCCTTGTGTATGCTCGCAGTTCTGTCTTTAGCGTCGATTAGCGTCTGGAGTCGATGAGATAGCGCCGATTTAGCGTCGATTAGCGTCGATTCGCAAGAGCCGACAAGATGGCATGGGAGGCCCCCATGAGTTGCCATCGAAAACTCTGAGCGGATTCGCTTTTACCCCGCCCCTCCTGACCGATTTTCTGGGGCCCCGGCCAGTTCAGACCCCCTGGCCGCCTCCAACGCCGCCGTGCTCTGGGTTCTGAAACAGTCACCGTTTTAGCATGCCAGCCTTGTCTGCGAACTCCCGCTAGACACCTGTTAGCCTCGAGATGCCCCGAGTGCGTTTCAGCTTCTATTATTGCGATCACTGTTAATGTTTTGCAGTTTCAGCTTGCATAGTTGCCCCTCTCAGGTTTGCCGTTGCATGGCCGTTTCGCTCAGGCCAGCTTGAGGGGCCCCTCTTGTCGAGCCGCCAGCTGGCGACATCAGACAGATAACTCAAAATTGACAGATCCACAGGCAAGCACAGCACACAGCAAACAGATCAGCGATCTGAGATTGCCGGGCTCGAGGCCCGAATCATTATTCCGCTCCCGCTGGGAGCTACATACGCAGGGCTGCAGGCCGTGGCCACGCTCCGCTCGCGGCAGTGAAAACAAGTCCGATCACATTGGTAGCGCACGTCGTGAAGTTGAGTTCTCGCCACGATGTCGCACCCGCCCTCGGAACGCGGAGACGAAGGGGAGGGCGGCGGTGCCTTGAGGAGGCGCCGTGGTCGGCGCGGCCGAGGCGGCAGCAGCACCTCAGACGACGCCGACGATGACCCGCTCTACCCCCGCGGCCCCGCCCCTGGGGTCCGATGGCGCGGAGGTGCACCGCCAGCGGCCCCGACCTTCTCGGGGGATCGCCGAGCGGACCCGCGCTGTTGGGAGCACTGGCGTGATGCGGTGGCCGCCTGGAAGTTCCGAGTCAAGCATAACCTGCCGCTCGCCGAGGCGGCGTTGCAGCTCAGAGATGCCGTCACAGGGGGGGGCGCTGAAGGAGATCATCTCCGACCCGCCGATGACATGGGCCACCCAGGGCGGCATCGAACGTTTGGTTGAAGTTATGCGCTCGCCCTTCGGCGAGGAGGAGATTTTCCACACGGGCGACCTGCTGGCAGCGTGCGAGAGAATCAAGAGGAGTCATGGTGAGAAGCTCCACGCTTACTGCACCAGGTACGTCAGAGTTGAGCGTGCGCTCATGCAGGTCAAGATCAATATCGCCGAGTCTCTAGACGCCCAGGCACGCGGACATCGCTTGCTGAGCACGGCGCTTCTCGGCGAAGAACATGTTCGAGGTATTCTTTCGATTTCCCACAGTTAAAAGTTCGACGGGATCATGAGCGCCATCGGGCGCCTGTGTCCTGAGAGGGCGGCGGCGCCGCCAGTGGTCTGGCCGCGCCGCGAGAGGGCGCCGGGCGACAACCGCGAGCGAGGCCGCGGGCAGGAGCCTGGCGGCGGCCCTTGGCGGCAGCAACCACCTGCGCCGCCCAGCCGCCCCGCCCTGCTGGACAGGCCGTCGGCTCCGCGGCCGCCCCCGCCTCGCCACGCGGTGAACGCCACCGAGGCCGCGATCGAGGAGGGCCAGCTCGGCGAGGAGGCTGCCGAGCACGAGGATGAGGTCGACGGCCAGCCAGATGACGACGAGCCCAATACGGAGGAGGCCGCCGACCAGGAACCCGCCGAGTTCGATGAAGTGCACGAGGCTATGACAGCCTTGAACGACGTTCTCAGCATCACGTCTCAGAAGCTGAAGGGGATCACTCAAGCTAGATGTTTTTCTCACGCCAAGGGGAAAGGAGGCTCTCGCCCATCCGCACCTCGCCAGGGCGCCGACCAGATCGAACAGAGAAAGAAGACGGAGGCGTGCCTAGATTGCGGAGAGCTCGGCCACTGGGCTGGGGACGCCGCCTGCAAGAAGCCAGGCGCCAAGCTCGGACCGAAGCCTTCCAGTTCTCGCGTTGGACTTCCAGCAAAGCATGGAGGGCAGAGAAAACCGTTTCATACATTTATGGTATTCTTCCTCCGCTTCCGCCCCTGCCAGCTCCGCCCGCGTTACTTCGTCCTCTACCATGTGCGCTTGGGCGATGTCTCAGTCAGTCTTCAAGGGCCTGGCAGTCGGAGATTCAATCGAGTATATCGACGAGTTTGACAGTAAGAGTTGGACGATTGCCGATACCGCGTGCCAGAGGATGGTCCATGGATCCGCTTGGGGGGGCACTCACGCCCAGAGGCTCGAAGACAGATCCCTGCCCCTCGTCAAGTGGGCCGTCCAGGAGAGGTTCAAGTTCGGCGAGGGCCCCGAGATCCACTCGGTCCTCCGGTGGGGTTGCCCGATAGGCATCGCAGGCGTGGCGCTCTGGGCTAGGTCTTCCGAGGTGTCGTCCGCGATTCCCCAACTGGCCTCCAACGAGTTCATGGTCCTCTTGGGAGCCTCCATCAACATGTTCGTCGGGACAATCAGCTTCTTGGGGATCGGGGTTTACGACCTCCCGCTTCAGAGGGCCAGGAACGGCCAGCTCATCGTGTGCATCTCCGATTTCCCGAACGAGTTACCCGACTTCTCGGATTGGGACACCTTGGGTGAGGACGTCACCCTACCCCCCGATGCGAAGATCAAATGTGAACACCGTCGAGAGCGACACCTCGAGCGAGTACAACTGAACCAGGGGACCTCGGCGAGCGAGTCTACCAAGATGGACGTGCGACGACGCCAGCGACGCGTGCACTTCGACATTGCCGACGACGGCCTAACCGAGTACGAGATCCCCGAGGGCACCATCGAGATCGAACGATCCGAGTCGACTCTCCAGCCATCTTCGGTCAAGCAGCCGAGTTCCAGCAGCTGCCAGCTTTCCATATCCGAGCTTTCGGCTCCTTCCATATCCAGCCAGTCCGCCGCAGCGGATGCGGCCGCAGACCCGCGAGAGATGGAACCGATTTCTCATGCGCTTGTGGGCGGTCATCTACACGGCCCTGAGCGCAGGTCAGGCTTTCCGAGCTTCGTTGATGACGGGCCCGGGCTTCCGGAACGCGTTCCTGAAGGCGACGCCGCTCCTGGCTGCCTTCGTCAAGGGATGCGCCGGGGGTCTGAAAGCGCACGAAGCCTACCTGGACATGAAGGCGCCCAAGAGACGCGAGCCGTGCGACCACCAGGACTCGACCACGGGGGTCTCGACCATCAAGGAGTACTGTGCGGGTCGCCACGGGCGGTACGCCAGGTGCCAGCAGCCGGCGTGCCAGATGAGGTGGAAGTGGATCGTCACCGACGCCCAGTGGATCGAGTATCCCGACGACCTTTCCAAGTCATCGCGGGCGTCCTCCTCGCGGCCGCCGCCGCTGTCACCGGCAGCCATAGCAGCGAGGGGCGCCGCGTCGCCAGCAGCGCCGAGCGCATCATCTTCGAGACCCTCAGTCCCAGCGCAGTCCTTCACGGCGCCCCGCTGCAAGGTGATGCCCAAGCAGGCGCCAGCCAGGCGCCGCCGCCCCAGGGAGACCGACGCCATCATGGAGGAGGACGACTCGGACGGGGAGATATCCAACGAGGGCTTCGAGGAGCTCTGAAGCGTCGCATCGGCGACCTCAACCGCACCATCTCCGCGCTCGAGGTCGAGGCTAAGGTTCGGGACGTCGTTGACAGCGCCGCCCGGCAGGTCAACGCCGAGGCGCCGCGCCGCGCGCGCATCCTCGAGGGCTTCGCCGGACAGGGGGACATCGCCAAGCGCGCGCACCTCTTCGGCCTCGCCGCTCTGCAGCCCGTCGACCTCATCTACGGCTTCGACCTGGGCACGGTCGCTGGTCGACGGAGGTGGAACCACGCCATCAAGACGTGCAAGCCGCTGGTGGTTATCATGGGTTTCCCATGTACGAAGTGGTGCTGGTACAACTACGCGATTAACTACCGTGACTTCCCCGACCTCCTCGCTTCCTTCCAGGACGAGGATCGGCCGCTGCTCAAGCTCGTTGTATGGACCGCTCTCGAGCAACAGAAGAACGGCAGGCACTTCCTCCTCGAGAACGCCGATAGGAGCCAGGCGTGGGAGCAGCCCGAATTCGACCCGCTCTGGAAGGACCGCCACACCGTCTGGGGACGCGGCGACAGCTGCCCCTACAACCTCAGGGCCTCAACGGCGAGCTGATGCGTAAGACGCGGACGTGGGTAAGCAACCATCCCAAGTTGCTGGAGTCGGTGACCCGCAGGTGCGATCGCAGCCAAAGTCACGCTGAAGTTCAAGGGCGCGATACTTCCCGCTCGCAGGAATTCACCGAGGAGCTCGCAGACAGCATCCTGACCGTCGTGCAGCAGATGCTCGCAGTCCGATCGCCTGCTTCGCTGGCCTGGACATCTAGCGACGACCAGTGCCGATACGAATGGCACCCTCAGGACAGCACCCCCGCGGACTACCACGACCAGCTCTACACCGCCTGGTTCGTCGACGTCGACCGCGACACCGACGAGTGGCAAGTTGTTCTTACCCAGACGATGCTCATGATGGAGGATCGGGCCCGTTACACCTGGGAGCTGCCGCCAGGCCACGAGATCTACCAGCGCATCCAGGACCTCGTGCCATGGGAGCTCGTTCGAGTGCAAGCCGCTCGAGTACCGAAAGCGCGTAGGCATGCAGTCGACATCGTCTACCGCCACCGCGGCATGACCGCCACCGCCCACGCAGGTAGCATCATCGTCGAGACTGAAGCGCTGAAGGACGTCCAGTGCCCGAAGCTCCGCTTCAGCGAACCGATCGCCCTCGCCATCTTCTTCTTCGGGAACGCGCCTGAGTCGGCCAGCGCCGACGGCGAGCTGCCTTCCGAGGTACCGCAGCCAGGACCTGCTGCTGCCCAAGTTCACCCTGAGAGCGCCGCGGAGCCTCCAGTGGAAGAGCCGGGCGCGCGTCCGCCGGCGCCGCCAGCTCAGGCTGCCGATCCCGACCTCTACTCTATCGCAGGGTGCCGCATCAAGTTCCCTAACCTCAGCGACGACAAGTGCCCCCGCGAGATCAAGGCGATGGTCGCCCGCCTCCACTGTCATCACGGACACGCTGGTCGCGAAGATATCCGACGTTTCTGTGCCTGGCAGGGGGCCAAGCCATCAGTCTACTTGGCGATCGACTTCTTGAAGTGCGAGGCCTGCGAGCGGACTCGCCCGCCAGCTAGGCCAAAGCCGATCTCCGCGACGATTCGGTACCTGGGTCAGTTCGGCGAACACCTCCAGGCCGACTTCTTTACTATCGTGGACGTCACCAACACGCCGCACCACATGCTCGGTATCATGTGCCTCAATGCACACCTCCACCGCGTGAAGCGCGTGGTCGACCGCTCCCCAGATACAGCCGTGTCCGCCTTCCTGGAGGCATGGGCTTTACCGCTCGGCATGCCGATGGCCATCACCGTCGACATGGACGGCAGCTTCATGGGCTACTTCAAAGAGCGGCTCGAGTCGTACGGGGTCAACGTCTCCTACTGCCCGCCCGACGCACATTGGCAGATCGGGACCGTCGAGAGGCATAACGCGTCATGGAGGTGGATCTGGAATCGGACATGCGACGCCTGCGCCGTGAAGACCGCCGAGGAGGTCGACTTGACTACCATTGCCGTCAGCGAGGCCAAGAACAATGCAGTTCGTCGGGCCGGGCGCTCCGCTAACCAGTGCGCCCTGGGAAGGACTCCTCGTATTCCCGGGGAGTTGCTATCCGACGATCACGGCTTTGCCGTCGCCGCCAACGCCACTAACTCGCAGCACGTAATGAACAACGACTTCTACCGCATGGAGGCCAACATCCACACGGCCCACTTCAACTACGAGCAGCACGTGAGGAAGTCGCTCCTCAGGAAGACCAGCCACTTGCGCTACGACCTTGACAAGCTCGTCGCAGGCCAGCAGGTTGGATGCTGGCGCCAGGGCGCCAAGAAGCGCCCCAGCGGCAAGTCGTCGCGCCCAGGTTTCGTCATTGGCACCTTCCTACAGTGGGGCGGCGGACAACAAGGACACGGACTCGGCCGCAACGCTCGGGTCAGAGTCGGTCAGACCATCATGCTTTTCAGCCGCGAACAGCTTGTACCAGCCATTGGTTTCGAGCAGTGGGTACCCGATGCCCAGGACATCGAGGTTCTCAAGAGCAGCTACGACCTCATGAAGGACGACCTCGGGGTGGACGAGCGAGACGCCGGGCCCGCGCCCGACGACCTGGCAGAGGAGGCCGACATCTTCGTCGACGACGGCCGCAACCTTCTTCCAAGCCGCGAAGGACTTCTGCCTCCACAGCCTGCCGATGCCGATCTTCCTGGAGCTCAGCCTGTCCCAGTCGAACCGCCGCCAGCTGCGGCGGCCCCGCCTCAGCCAGAGGCGATTCCGTCCGAGCCGACACCGGTCGAGACCGAGGTTCCACGCACGACCCCTATGGACGCGGAGGTCACCCAGGCCACTGATTCCGTCTCCGCAGAGCCGAACACGATCGAGACCGATCTGAAGGTCAGCACCTCCAGGTCGCCTCGGCAGCCGAGCCGCCGAACACGAAGTCCCTCCAGAGGCCGACCCTCCAGACGAGAAGAGGCCCCGCGTGTCTACCTTGTGCGCCCAGGCTTGGCTGACGTCCTTCTGGGCCACTGAGGTCGGGGACAGTGCCGACGGCTCCGACGAGGTACCCGCCGCGTTCGGCAACGTCAGCCGCTACGCCGACTACGCGGACGAGATCGAGATCATCTACCAGGTGAACGCCATCGTCGCCGACGACGGGCCTATGCCCCCCCTGGTGCCCGACTCCGAGGACGACGAGCCTGCCGACCAGAACCAGCCCACCATGACGAGGGCCGAGCGGAAGGCCTACGACCGCGAGATACCTTGGCGCGAGATCATGAGCATGGACGGCTCCACCATCCAGAGCTTCCTGCAGGCCACGCGCAAGGAGTACAGCAACTGGGTCAAGTGGGCGCCGATGGTCGCTGTGCCAGACGACGTCGCCAAGGACATGCTCAACTCGCCCGAGACCCGCAAGAGCTGCATCCGGGCGCGATGCTGCTATCGTGACAAGAACTGCGGCCAAGGAGAGCTTGCTGCGAAATGCCGGGGAATCGCCGTCGGTTGCAGCGACCCGAGGCTCGAGGCGCTCGAGCGGAGGTCTCCCACTACGCAGCGCATCAGCTTCTTCGCAGCCTGCCAGGTCCTCGCCAGCATGAAGATCTACGACCCAGAGGGCAACTGGACCGCATGTGTTGGCGACCTCGAGAACAGTTTCTTCCGGGGCAGCCGCGAGAGGGAGGACAAGGTCTACCTCATTCCGCCGCGTGACCCACGGGTCATCGCCACCGGCTCCTGGCTAGATACGTTGTACGAGGTGACCGCTGGTGTTGTGTCGTCACATCCGACGCAAGATGTACGATTTGGGTTTCGTGAGCCATAGCCTGGACGTGATGTGTTTTCTGAAGTTCGATAAGGGGCGTTTATTGGCCATCGTTTTGTGGTACGTCGACGACATGTTCGCCGCATGCGCCAAGAGCCGTTTCGATTTCTCCCAGCTGGAGAAGGTTCTCTTGTGGGGCAAGCTCGTGTATCTGCCTCAGGAGCTCGCGTGGTGTGGGCGTGAGATCAACCAGTACCACGACGGCCGAGTCGTCATCACTCAGAAGGAGTACGTCAAGGGTTTAGAGGTTCGCCGCATCCCATCGAGCCGCATCCGAGAGGGAGGGTCCTTTACACCCGCAGAACGGACCGACATGCGGAGCTGTATCGGAAGCGGTCAGTGGCTTTCGGGTATACGCCGTCCGGATGTTTCGTCATATGCATCGTTGTTGCAGAGCGAGGACCCCCAGATTTCCGATCTTAAGGCGATGTACAAAACCAAAGAGCACCTGAAGAACACGCCATAGGTTGGGATTACGATGATGCCGTTACAGTTGGTTAACGATTCCGGAGATATCGATGTGAATACGGTTGCATACGGTGACTCGAGCCGGGCCCACGCGCAGCAGATGAAGAGCCAGACTGGAGCGATGATCGTTTGGGCCAATCGAGACGCCTTCTCCGGATCAGCACCTGCCTCGTTGGCCGATTGGAGGAGCGCGAGGACACAACGTCAGGTGAGGCCCACCTTGTCAGCGGAGGCTTGTGCGGCTGACGCAGCCGTTGATCGAGGATTTTATGCTTCTGTGTTTTTGCCCGAGGTCTTGACAGGCCGGTCATATATAGCCAATCGCATGGCTGATCGCACGCCGCCTAGTGTGCCGCTTTATGCTATCGCGGATTGTAGGAGTTTGTACGACTGTGTTACTAAAGAGAACCCCAGCTTAGATGAACAGCGGGCGCTTCTCGATGTTTCTATCCAGACCAGTCTCGGTCTAGGTTCGATGAGGTGGGTCCCAACTTCTAACATGATAGCCGACCCTCTCACGAAAGTGTCCGATCAGTCGTGCGACAGTTTAGTTCAGTGGCTCCGCGAGCCTGCCATCGAACTGTTCGGAGCCATTGCCGAGTCAGCTTCAGTTTTTGCGTGATTTCTATTTCTGCCGTCAGACGTCTCTCGGAGTTTTCAGCTAACAGAAGAGAGAGAGAGAGAGAGAGAGAGACAGACCAGTCTGAAACAGTAGCTGTTTTAGCATGCCAGCCTTGTCTGCAAACTCCCGCTAGACACCTGTTAGCCTCGAGAGGCCCCGAGTGCGTTTCAGCTTCTATTGTTGCGATCGCTGTTCATGTTTTGCAGTTTCAGCTTGCATAGTTGCCCCTCTCAGGTTTGTGCCATTGCATGGCCGTTTCGCTCGAACCAGCATGAGGGGCCCCTCTTGTAGAGCCGCCAGCTGGCGACATCAGACAGATAACTCAACATATACAGATCCACAGGCAAGCGCAGCACACAGCAGACATATCAGCGATCTGAGATTGCCGGGCTCGAGGCCCGAATCATTATTCCGCTCCCGCTGGGAGCTACATGCGCAGGACTGCAGGCCGTGGCCACGCTCCGCTCGCGGCAATGAAAACAAGTCCGATCACATGGGTCACCCCCCAGGCCCTGGGCCTCCCAGATGGGGTCCGAGCAGATGAGGCCGGAGGGTCGCGCAGCATTGCCCGTGCATCGGCGATGCGGCTCGATGTGGGGCCCGATTTTATCCGCGCCGACGTCGCGGATGCGTCGCCGACGTCGCCGATGCATCGCCGATGCATTGGCGATGCGGCGCGATGTGGGGCCCGATGTTATCTGCGCCGACGTCGCGGATGCGTCGCCGATGCATCGCCGATGCATTGGCGATGCGGCGCGACCCTCTAGGGGGGCCTCTACAGGTGCGCGGGGAGATTCCCGTGGCGCGCGCCGCAGCCTGGGCCAGGCGGCTGCCCTTCTCCAGCGGGGCGGCGCGCGGGAACGCGAAGGTTGGCGCGCGTCGCGCGTCCTTGAGCCCCGCTGCGCGAAGTCGGGTGATTATGTTGCATCTTCGGGGGACCTCGCCTGTCCCCAAAATTGGTGTCTTTTGGGGGGCCCGACGCGGGCTCGATGCGGACTCGACGCGGATTTGGCATGGATTCGACGCGGATTCGGCACGGATTCGACACGGATCCGACGCGTCCGACACGGATTCGACACGCATTCGACGCGGACAGGGCTGCGACGGGACAGACAAGGTCCCCCGAGGATGCAACATAAGGGTGACCTGGACACTCGACGTGGCGGACAACGTCACAAAGTTGGCATTGCTCGGACGTGGTTTTCCTAACCATCCTGTGGTGTTGGGTCTTCGTTTTGAAGAGACGGCGCCCCGCGTTCCTTCCTCCTCCTTCCCGCCAACCTCCCCCTCCCCCCTCCTCTTCCCTCCCTGCGTTTCACCCACCCAGTACAACGTTTCGTAATCCCATAGGGAGCTCCACCGAAGGCGCCAGTGACAGGGTGCCGAAATGGCCCGAAGCCGCCATGCGAACCCTGCCACTGGGGCCTTCGGTGGAGCTCCTTGTGGGGCCACGATCTGAGGGGTGTGCCGAAATGGCCCGAGGCCGCCATGCGAACCCTGCCACTGGCGCCTTCGGTGGAGCTCCTATTGGGCCACGATCCTCGTGAGGGGTGTGCCGAAATGGCCCGAGGCCGCCGTGACCCCATAGGGAGCTCCACCGAAGGCCCCGGTGGCAGGATTCGCATGGCGGCCTCGGGCCATTTCGGCACACCCCTCATTAGGATCGTGGTCCCATAGGAGCTCCACCGAGGGCCCCAGTGGCAGGGTTCGTATGGCGGCCTCGGGCCATTTCGGCACACCCCTCATTAGGATCGTGGCCCCATAGGGACCTCCACCGAAGGCCCCAGTGGCAGGGTTCGCATGCCGGCTTCGGCCATTTCGGCACACCTATCACGAGGATCGTGGCCCCATAGGAGCTCCACCGTGGGTGCCAGTCGTAGGGTTCGCATGGCAGCCTTGGGCCATTTCGGCACACCCCTCGCGAGGATCGTGGCCCCGTAGGAGCTCCACCGAAGGCGCCAAAGGCAGGGTTCGCATGGTGGCCTCGGGCCATTTCGGCACACCCCTCAGATCGTGGCCCCATAGGGAGCTCCCCCGAAGGCTCCAGTGGCAGGGTTCGCATGGCGGCCTCGGGCCATTTCGGCACGCCCCTCACGAGTAATCGTGGCCCCATAGGGAGCTCCACCGAAGGCGCCAGTGGCAGTCTCCCTCATGGCAGGGGGACGCCGTCCTCGTCGTCGTCGTCGGCGCCCGCGAAGACGGCCACGATCGTGTCCCTGAGCATGTCGGGCTCCGGCGGGAAGCCGTGGCCACATAGGGAGGGCGGGCGAAAATGGTATTCACAGGTGCGGTATGCACAATTGCGTATGGTTGGGTCCTTCGCCAGGCTAATTTTTCGTCGGCGCGGACGATCGAGGAGCATCCTTGTTCATCGAGCCAAAGGAGCACGCACGAGACCGAAAAATGCACGGGGAATGGACGTCCGAGCGGTGGCGAGGAAACCGTGCATCAAGTCACGACCAGACCTTCGGGTTGCTCAAAACTCTTCCATTCCCCTGTGTTGCTCGGTTTCGGGCGTGCTCCTTTTGCCAAATGCTCCTCGATGGTCCTCGCCGAGAACAAACGCACACGTCCGAGCGATGCCAAGCCCTGGGCCCCTCTTGGGTATGTTGTTCCCATCCTACTTAAGGACCACATCCCAGAGATACATATTCGACCGCACTGTTGGACGTTTCTATGTTTCAGTTCGGTCGGTCCAAGAAGGGTTTCCGGCCAGGACCCCCAGGCAAAACGCCAGTTGGCTGCTCAGGGCGCCCGGGTTCTGAGGGATCCGAGGCACGCCCCCGGGGGTTCCCAGAGGCCTCGGAGGGATCTCCATGGGATCTCGGGGAGACTGTCCAGGAGTCCCTCCGAAGGGCCTCGGCAGTGGCTGGTCCTTGAGGTCGGGCCGCCAGGCCGCAGACCATGGTCAGAGTTCGGTGGGCTCTCCTCCTCCTCCTCCTCCTCCTCCTCCTCATCCTCCTCCTCCTTCGTCCTCGCCCCTCCTGCTCCTCCCTCCCCCTCTTCTCGTCCTCCTCCTCTTCCCTCCTCCTCCACCACCTTATCATCCTCTTCCTCCTCCCTTCTCCTCCACCACCTTATCATCCTCTTCCTCCTCCCTCCTCCACCTCCACCTCTTTCTCTCCCTCCTCCTCCTCCTCCTCCTCCTCCTCCTCCTCCTCTTCCGTTCATTTTCCTTATAGATAATTTCTCCCTGTCGCACCCCGAGGCCAGATTTTAGGGCGGGCTGGGCGTTTCGCTTGAGATTTCCTCACCATTTATGACCCTGAAGCTTAAAAGTTGGCAACAGCTTCGCAGATGGAGGGCGGGTGGTTTTCAACATGTGGCTTTCGCCTAAGCACGGCGCGCGTTCGCTTTACAACATTGCACGAGTTTCATGGATTGAAGGCGGGTGGTGTTCAAAATGTGGTTCTCGCCTTAGCGCGGCGCGCATTCGATTTAAACATTTGCAAGGGTTTCACGAATTGGGCGGGTGGTTTTGAACATGCGGCTCTCGCTTTAGCACGGCGCACATTCGTTTCAAACATTTGCAAGGGTTTCACGGGTTGAGGGCGGATCATTTTCAAATTGTGGCTCTCGCCGTAGCGCGACGCGCATTCGTTTTAAACATGTGTAAGAGTTTCACGGCTTGAGTGCGGTTGGTTTTCAAAATGGGGTTCTCGCTCTAGCGCGGCGCACACTCGTTTTAGACATTTGCAAGAGTTTCACGGATTGAGGGCGGTTCCTTTTCAAAATGTGGTTTTCGCTTTAGCGCCGCACACATTCGTTTCAAACATGTGCAAGAGTTTCACGGGCTGAGGGCGGTTCTTTTTCAAAATGTGGTTTTCGATTTAGCGCCGCGCACATTCGTTTGAAACTTTGGCAAGAGTTTTACGGATTCCCATCATCAACGTACCAGAAATAGTGTTTGAAAGGATTCAGGATGACGCGGGCGCAACAGTCATGTTGATTCGCGTTTGTGAAGTTCCATTAATGATGTTCTGGCACGATTCCACATCGCCAACACGCAACAGTCAGGTTGATCCGTAGCGTTGAACTCCCGAGAACAATGTTTCAGCATGTTGCAGGGTCTTCAAACGGTTGTCTTCCAACAAGGCAGTTCCCCCGATGGAAATAAGCCAGTGTAGGGGAAGAGAGAGCTTGGAGGGAGGGTTTATTGCGAAGGCCTGACGGCCGGTGCCGCCGACCCTGTTCGCAATGCGCAGCAAGAGGCACGGGCTGTGGGATGGTTTTGGGGAACGGGGAGAAGGACGAGAAGGTGGGGGAGGGAGGTGTCGTATCTGACCCGGGACTTCCCCGGGACTCCCCCGGGACCCCCCCCGGGACCCCCTCTCCCCCCCCCGTCGGGGAAGGGAAAGGGAAGGGGCTTCCCTTCG